TTACAGTGAGGCGTGTGGGATATATGGGTGTTTCAGCGAGGGATGTGGGATGTATCAGTGTTATAGTGAGGCGTGCGGGGTATATCGGTGTTACAGTGAGGGTGTGGGGTATATCAGTGTTACAGTGAGGGGTGTGTGGGTATATCGTTGTTACAGTGAGGGGTGTGGGCTATATCAGTGATAAAATGAGGGGTGTGGGGTATATCAGTGTTACAGCAAGGACTGTGGGGTATTTTGAGTGTTACATTGAGGGGTGCAGGGTATATTGGTGTTACAGTGAGGGATGTGGGGTATACCAGTGTTGCAGTGAGGGGTATGGGGTATATCAGTGGTATTGTGAGTGGTGTGGGGTATATCGGTGTTACAGCAAGGGATGTAGGGTATATCGTTGGTAAAGTGAGGGGTGTGGGTTATATCGCTGTTACAGCGAGAGGTGTGAGGTATTTCAGTATTACAGTGAGGGGTGTGGTGTACATCAGTTTTGCAGTGAGGGGTGTGGGGTATAGCGGTGTTACAGCGAGGGGTGTGGGATATATCAGTTTTGCAGTGTGGAGTGTGGGATATATCGGTGTTACAGTGAGGAGTGTGGAATCTCCAATGTTTTGATGGTTTTCCCTCGGCAGAACATATCTAGAAGAAGAGCTGATGAAAGCCCGTGAGAATCCAAAATTACGGAATGACATGTACAAGAAAATGGTGGAGATTGACCCCCAAGCACCGACGCCGCACGAACACACGATCCAAGCTGTCCTGAAGCCACGATATATGCAGTGGAGGGAAACCCTCAGCTCTACAGCAACCCTCGGATTTCGAATTGAAGGTGTTAAGGTGCGAATGCTAGCTCTTAGCCTCTTGGATGTGCATTGTGCCATCTTTCTGAGTGTGGGGAAACTGAATGGCACATATCTCTGGTTTGTCCCCTGTCTCACCCTTTCCACACTCTCCTTGTCTAATGTGGTCAGTGGTCCTGTTTGCACCGAACTGTTGACCGCTTGTTTATCTTTACTGGCTGTCACAAATGAAATTTTGTCCCTTTCTTCGGGAACTGCCCGTCCTCCCTTTCTGATAATAAGCAGACTTAATCCTTGTGCCCGAACAAACTGCCTTCCCATCTCTGCCCTCTTTTTCCAAATCCATCTGATGTGCTTTCACATTCCGAATGTGTGTTCACATTTCCCACAATTCCCATGTTTGAGCTGCTCAATCTAATTTTCTGCCCTTGGCTGAAATGGCTCTTATTAAAAATCACAGATACTGAATGTGACTGTGGTAAACTCTCCCTTTTTAACTTGTCTGCCCCCTTTAACCCCCGAACCATCAGTTATTTTTTTTTCGAAATAGTAGGGCAGCACGGTGGTTAGCACTGCTGCCTCACAGCGCCAGGGACCCGCGTTCGATTCTACCCTTGGGCGACTGTCTACGTGGAATTTGCACATTCTATCTGTGTCTGTCTGGGTTTCCTCCGGGTGCTCCGGTTTCCTGCCACAGTCCAGCGATGTGCAGGCTAGGTGGATTGGCCTTGCTAAATTGTCCGTGGTGTTCAGGGATGTGTGAGCCAGGTGGATTTGCCATGGAAAATGCAGGGTTACGGGGATAGGGTAGGGGGTGTCAGTCTGCCTAGGATGCTCTTCAAAGGATTGATTATGGACTTGATGGGCCAAATGGCCTGCTTCCATGCTGTATGAAATACCTTGTCTTTGTCCTCCGGCTGGGTGGCACTGCCCTTGCCTATTCACAGTCTGAGAACCACCCGCAGTACTTTCTTATGCGGCTCCTTCATTGATGTATCCACCAAAGCTCTCTGCTTTCTCATCTCCACATGTCCTATCCACTATATCCTCCAAAATCATAGTGTCAATTCCATAAGTAAAGCTGATAATACCCAGCTCTATATCACCATCACCACCTTCCAGAACCAGGTGTCAACAGTTTAAGAATACAGGGTTGACCATTTAGGACTGAGATGAGGAGAAATGTGAGAGAGTGGTGAGCCTGAGGAATTTTTTGCCACGGAAAGTGGTTAAGGCCAAAATATTAAATGTTTTCAAGAAGCAGATAGCTATAGATTTTAGGGCTAAAAGGATCAACAGGTATAGGGAGAATGTGGAAACAGGGAGTAGAGTTGGATGATCAACCATGATCATATTGAATGGCAGAGCAGGCTACGGGTTGAAGGGCCTGCTCCTGGCCTTATATTCTAAATTTCAACCCTCTCCAATCTATGAGCTGTCAGATTGTTTGTCCAAAAGTACACACTGGACGAACATCAATTTTATTATGTTAAATATGAGGAAGACTGAAACATTTGTCTTTGTGTCCCATTGTAATGTCAACTTTCAAATTACTAATATCAACTTCCAAATTACTAATATCATTCTCCTCCCTAGCCACTGTCTCTGACTGAACTGGACTCTTGCATCCTTGCCTTCCTGTCTGATCCTAATGATTCCTGTGGACCTTTTAGTTCAATATTCGGTGCCTTTAACTTTCTCATGTGGCCATACATTGTGTTCTTTAACACAGAACAAGGCCTGTGCTGCACTTTCCAGGCTACTGTGCAGTCATGCACACGTGTCTTAGTGGGAACATTGCTTGACCTTGAGTACAAGACAGAAGAGAAGTACGACAGAGGAACAGGCCCTTCAGCCCTCCAAACCTGTGCCAATCATCATGCCCTAACTAAACTGAAAAAAAAAACCTTCTGCCCTTATTTAATCCGTATCCCTCTATTCCCTCTCTATTCATGTAACTATGAGCTTCCAATGTCAAATCCTGTCAATCAGAGAGATGGCAAATCATCCATCTACACCTTTGCCTCAACATAGCTGCTGCTGAAAACCTCATCTGTACTTCTGTATCTCTGGGCTTTGTTTATTCCATTGGCTTAATTTGACTTCACGAAGTTGAGTCTGCTTGAAAGTCCACTGTCCATTTATTAATTCAGCCAAGTCACATTCCACCGTGCCCACCAATTTACACTGTCTCCATTTCCATCAATACATCTAATTGCTGTGTGCTCATCCTTGTGTCTAAATGCCTCTCTGAGTTTACGTCGACCCATCACTGTAACCCCCTCCAGTCCTAAGATGTCAATGTTCCGCTAAGTCTGGTTTCTCATTCATGCCTTATTCACTTTCCTACAACTCCCTGCCCACCCCCCTGCTTTTTGGCTGCTGTTGCCTGAAATCTAGAATTCCTTCCCTTAGCCTCTCCACCCTTGTTCCTCCTTCAAAAAGTTTCTTAACACCCTCTTTGACAGTGCATTTGGGTCAACTGTCCTCATAACTCCTCGTGGTGGCATGCTCTGACATTTTGATTGATATCTGGCCCTGTGAAGTGCCCAGGGACATTTCGCCACATTAAAGGTGCTACAGAAATGTAAGTTGTAATTATTATTGTGTGGTTTGCTCCCACTGAGGAGTTGACCCAACCGAATTAAAGTTAGAGAACTAACCACAGAGGTGAGTGTGCCTGATTGCAGAATCTTTCCATTATTCATTTTACCCAAAAGGAAAAATTGGGGGCATGCATGAGCACTCGTTGTGGGTCAACGTCCAAACCTCAGCAGAACGTGCATTAATCCTCAGGAAAATGTGGGAGCATTCTGCCATCCGGTGGTGATAGGGAGAATGGCAATACATATATAAAAAACGGGAATTTTGGAAAACAGAGATAGTAGGAACTGCAGATGCTGGAGAATCTGAGATAACAAGGTGTAGAGCTGGATGAACACAGCAGGCCAAGCAGCATCAGAGGAGCAGGAAGGCTGACGTTTCGGGCCTAGACCCTTCTTCAGAAATTTTCCAATTTTGGAAAACAGCGAAGATTGCGCTTGCGATACATAAGGTGTGTGTGTGTATACTTATTTAATATGCATATAGATACACACATGAACACACATTATAAACATATACAGATGCATTGATGCCTACTCTCATATCTACGGGGTAAAACACAAACATACACAGAGGGAGCTCCAGCCTATGGAAAGATGTTGTTCAAGAATGAAAGAAATTACGACTTTCAGGAAGAGCTCCGCCATCAGGTTCGGTACACATTGGATTCAGATTAGCACAACACTTTGCTGTACCAGGGCTCCTTAATGCCCAACAAGAGTGCCACACACTCCTCGCCAGCTATCCAGTGACACTAAGTAATACCAGTTTTGTGTTGGTTCATATACACCACTGAACTCAGGACACTTAGAGTGAGGACAGAAATAGGCCTATGTCCTGTGTGTCTGTAAAACAACAAAGTATTTGCTGAGGTGCCATGTAGACAAGCTCAGGGATCAATGACTGATTTGTTGCCTGAAGGGTACTGGTGGCATGGGAATATTGACACCACACTTACCCTGTCCATCATCTCATCATTGCTTCTCTGGTCCAGCTTTCAATGTGATGGTGCCACCTCAACTCTGTCTTATAGATATAGTAAGAACTGCCGATGCTGGCATCTGAGATAACGCAGTGTGGAGCTGGAGGAACACAGCAGGCCAGGCAGCATCAGAGGAGCAGGAAAGCTGACATTTTTCCTGCTCCTCTGATGCTGCCCGGCCTGCTGTATTCCTCCAGCTCCACACTGTGTTATCTCTGTCTTATAGACCTAAGGTGCTGTAATTGGGGATCTCTGAGCATTAGAGCTGGCAGTTATATAATGTCTTTAATATTGAAAATCAACTCCAAGGGCTTTCACAAAAGGGAAATAAATGATGATCCAAAGAAAGAGCAATGAAGACTTGGAGATAAACTTCAGTTCAGTGAGGTTTTAAGGAGGGAACAAAAGGGTGTTGTGACAAGGGTTAATGTGAATGTGTAAGTGAGCCATTGGGACAAGATGCAAGGTCTCATGATGATCGTCTGTAGCAACCCCATGGCAGAGGTGAAGTCTTGACCTGTAAATGCTTTGTGTTTGTTTTGGTTACAAAAAAAGGTAATGTTTGACTTCACGTCAACAAACTCCTCTAATATTTACCAGCCTCACCATCCCACCCCGTCCTGACCCAATTACAGTACAAAAGGGCAAGGTTGTGAAAGGGAATTCCCAAACTTGTATGCAATATTAAATTATAAAGTGTTACTGAAGCAGAATGTCACAGGGTATGAAGCATTACCCAGAAGGAGATATCTCTACTTCAACAGTCTCTACATGAAGTCTGCTCTTCAATATCTTGTCTACAATTATTTTAACTGAGGTTTTAACTTCTGTTTGGTAGCTGTAACTCTTCCCAGGTGTAAGGGTCATCGTGTTCTCTGTTTTGATTACAGAGAGCGGATGGGAAAGGCAGCACCAACTTCAAAAGGACCAAAACAAAGGAACAGATTCTCCAGGTTTTTATTGACTTTGTCAGTGGAAACAAGAAAATTGTGGTAGGTTATCATTGATACAAGGATTAAAGCACCAAATATAGGCAGAAAAACACAAATGTAAAGGATTAAGGAACTATTACAAAGGGTTAATTGGCCAATACATGGACTGAGACATCATCATAAGAGCGAGCACCATAACTCACTCAGCTGTCCACTCTGTCTTTGTCATACACTCACTGTACGAGAGAGACATGCTCTATCTCACAGCTGCAGCCTCTCAAATGAAGATCACGATGCTCTCTCTACCACACCCAGTCTCTCACGCACTCTTTCTCACCCATTCTCTATTTCTCTCTCTCACACGTGCTCTCTAATGTACACGGTCTCTCATTCACTCACTCTCTATCTCTCTATCTCACATGCATGCTTGCTGTCACACACCTGCTGTCTCACGAACATATTCCCTCTAAGCACACATGGTCTTTCATACACAATCTTTCATCCACTTCCTACTTTGTCACACACAGATACTGTCTCACACATACACACTCTCTCTCTCACACCCACTCTCTCTCACACACCCTCTCTCTCTCACACACCCTCTCTCTCTCACACACACTCCTCTCTCACACACACCCCTCTCTCACACACACCCCTCTCTCTCTGTCTCTCTCTCTCTCACACACACATGCACACGAGTGCTGTCTCACACACAAACACATAAGCTCTGTCACCCATTTTCTATCTCTCTCACACACACAAAAACAGACATACACACACACTCATTCTCTCAGGCACATACTGTCACACATGCTCTCTCTGTCACACACACTCTCATAAGTGTTCTCCCACACACATGTTGTCCCATGCCCATACTGTCTCACATACATCTCTTTCTCACACACACACTCTGTCTCACACATGCTCTCCTGCATACGTGCTGTCTCATATATGCTCTTCTCACAATCACACACTCTGTCTCCCTCACACACACTCACACAAACCCCTCTTGCACATATGCTCTCTTTCTCTCTCTCTCTCACACAAATAGATTTGCCAGCATTTCCATTCACACTTGTAAAGAGAAATGGCACCAGCTAATTTTTAGCTACTTGCTTTCATATATTCCTATGTTTACAAACAACCACTCTGTGGGCCTGGGCTGTGAGCAGATCAAGGCTGTTTGAACGTTGGAAGCATCACTCAATTTTCAGGAGAAGGTGGTGGTGGAGCATGTTTTAGGTGTCCTAGTGGACTCAGAGCAGGGATTCTGGTTGATTCCCAATCTCTAGTCCATGGAAACTTGGGCCACAGGCAGCGGAACAATCCACCACCAGCTGAGACCTGCATAGACCAGGGCCTGTGTCTGATTGATGTCAACCCACGTTGCTGTACTAATCTCTGCTTTGTTTGAATCTAAAGCAAGCCTACCTGACGAGACTAAAGGAGATCCGGAAAGCTCTGGAGTCATCTGAGTTCTTCAAAAGGCATGAGGTAGGGAGCAAGGAATTGTGGTTGTTAAGGGTTCTGGTCTTCCTGTTACAGAAAGGATATTATTAAATTGTAGAGGGTTCAGGAGACATGTTGCCAGGAATGGAGGGTTTGAGTTATAGAAATAGGCTGAGAATTTTTTTCACTGGAGCGTTGGAGGTTGGGGGTGACCTTATAGAAGTTGATAAAATCAATGAGGGGTATAGATAAGGTGAATGGCAGGTGTCTTTTCCCAAGGGTGGGGAGGATTTCAAGACTAAGGGACATATTTTTAAGGTGAGAAGAGAAAGACATGGGGCAAATTTTTTACACAGAGTGGTTTGTGAGTGGAAGGAACTTTCAGAGGATCTGGTGGATGTGGGTACAGTTACAACGATTTGAAGACATTTTGATAAATTCATGAATAGGAAAGGTTTGGAGGGATATGGTCCAAGCGCAGGCAGGTGGGACTAGTTTAGTTTGGGATTATGGTTGGCATGGACTAGTTGGGCCGAAGGGTCTGTTTCATGCTGTATGACTCTATGACTCTAAGTACCCTCCAAAGATTTGAACAGATAATCGAGGCACTGCTCGACCTGCTATCTTTCATGTGAGACATTAAATCAAGGCTTAGTCTAACCTGTTTTAAAGAAGCACAAGGGAAATTCACACCTCTCATGTCCTTGATAACATTTATCTCCTAACCAACATCATTAAAAATGACCAACCTGGTCATTTTCTTCTTGTTGTTTGTGGGATCTTGCTTTGTGCAAGTTCCTGATAACATTCCCAAAATTGCAACAGTTGAATATAACTTTGTTGACTGTTAAAGCACCTTTGTAGATTTCTGAGGATGGGAAAGCTCCTATATCACTGCAGGTTTTTCTCTGTGTTTAACCTGGTTGGTGAGAATACAAGGGCCCCTTCCAAGTAAGAGTCCAGGACAACACCAGGGCAAAGCAAGAGAGAGGCAGTGGGGAGGGGGCTTGGGGCGGGAGGCAGGTGCGGGGTAATGCCCTTTCTCATGACACCCGGTGAACCTCCCAGCAAGTGATCTCCATTTCCCCCACACCCCTCCAACCCTTCACCTTCTGCAACCCTCTGTCTCCCTCCAACCCTACCACACTCCAACACTCCAA